CTGTATGAGTGTCATTTTTGTGAAGTGGAACAAATAAAAAGAGTTTTTTAGGGTTATTATTGACTAAATAATAATTGTTTTACATAACATTTTAAAGAAGCAATAAAAAGTAATTCTTGAAATAGAGAATGAAAGAAATTAATAATTGTTCTATATTTAGTAAATGCTAATAAAAAGAAGTTAAAAGACAATTTAATATCAACGGTCAATTGAATAAATCAATTAATGAGAAAAAATAAAATAAAAGAAGTTAAAAGCATAATTGGTTAAGGATATTTCTAAATGTTAATTGTTAGAATTTTTATGAATATATTATGTCTTTTTCTAAAGTTTATAAGTTAGTTTTATAAATAGTTGTTATTTTTTTTATTCAATAACCAATTAATATTGATATTCTTTTAAATACTTAGAATTCATACATTCTGTAGTTGGTACTAAACTCATAAAATGTATCTTTATTTATATGACAGAACCTACAAAAATCCATAATTAGTAATATAATAAATATAAAATAAAGAAAAACAGATATTTGTTTTCTTAATTTGATATAAAAATGAGTAAAAGAAATTTTATAAAATACAAGATAAGTCTCTATAAATCTTTCTAAAATAATTAATTGTGTACTTTAATTTGATGTTATTATAATTTTCTAATAAAATACTGATATGAGTATTTGTTTTTTATATTAGAAAGAATTGTTTTGAGAATTAATTCTACAAGTAAATTAAAACGAAGTTATTCAATCTTTCATTTAAATTTAAATTATTTAATTAATAAAATTATTGTTATTTTTAATATATTTTATTCAAATTCTTCCTTTTTTATTATACAAAAATTCTATTAGGCAACAATTACAGAAATTTTTATTTTTAAAAAAAACACACCAAATATAACGTTAATTAGAGCTTTCCCAATATAAATCCAAAGTGTAAAGTGTTGCCTTCCAAATACATCCCTTCAATAGATGTTCCCTTCATAATATTATTTCTAAGGAATTGATAAACAACACTATTAATTCTTCCTAGTTTAGTTTCTAAGTTTTCAATACTTTTTATGTGCTCATCTTTTACTCTTACACAATTACATAAACTATCCATTAATTCTTGCTTAATATCTTTCATACAAACAGATGCTTGAACAAATGCTTTTTTATTCATTGTAACTCTTCCAAAACAATCTCCGCAACTTTCTAATGATGCATTAACTAACTTAACAGGTAATAATTCTCCTGTTAATTCAAACATTTGATGAAGATTTTTTCTCATATTTTTTTCACATTTTACTTCAAAACTTGACACATTAAACTCTGTGTTGGCGTTTCTTCCCATTGAAATAGAATTACTTTCAATACTTTTCAACCACTCACTATATTTTTCACATTCCTCCTTTAAATTTACACAAACTCTCCTTAAAATTGGCTTTTCACAGCCATGAATCATCCACCCCCAATCTGTTTCACAATCTGCAGTAATATCCATCCATACTGATGCATTTTGAGAAGATTCATATCTAGAGATTTCGTCTAATAAATCTATTTCATTTTGAGACAATCCTTGGTCATAACAAAAATCCAAAAAATTGAAGATGATATCGGAAATAGTTCCACTAATAATGAAGGTAAGTTCTCTTAAATCATGTTGAACATAAACTTCCACAGTCCTTTTTGTTTTGTTAGTATCTTTTAATACCATGTTAAACCAATTAAAGAAATAATCCCCACAATCTTTAAACCATTCAAATGAATTTGTAACTTCATGTAATTTTTCTAACATTTCAATATAAGAACGAGGATAACAAGTTGATTCATCTAATTTTATTGAAGGGAACAAAGGAATTTGAGGGCCTCCTCTTTGTCTTGGAGTTAAAGAAAAGTTATGAGTTTTACAGTATGAAGGTCTACCAGTTGACCAAGTAGTTGTTTTTTCCTTTGGAGAATAGACAATATCTGAAGCAACATTTGAAGGAATTTTGATTTGAGCCACATTAATCTTATTAACTTTAACCGAAGGAACGAATTTTTTAAAAGATTGAATCATTTTAGTGATTGGTTCAATGATTTGACTTTGAAGAGTTCTGTCATTTGATACATAAATTAAAAACTCTCTTTGTCCCCTAAAAATTAAAACAAGTCTCTCTTAAGGTATCACACAAATTATCTTAAAACATGATATTTAAACAAACTTATCATTGAAAGAGTTTAGTGAAACATAATACTTTTCTTTGGCAACATGAAGATCTTCTCTTTCTTTAATTATTGTTGAAGGAGAAATTTGAATACAACCTTTTGCCTCTGTAGCGTTTTGAGAAGTGAAATAAAACAATTTGTTTGTAGTTAAAACAAACCATCTTCTTTTAATTGTTTTAACTTTTCCACCTTCTTTCCAACCCCAAAATACAGATAGTTGTGGGTCAATAGAATTTGGTGTAATATGAAGAGCGTTTTCAGACATGTAATAATATTTAGAGTTCTGATATTTGAACTTGTGAAATCTAACTTCTTTATTTAGACTTTAAAAAATATACAACATATTCCTTTTTTAGCTTCACTCTTCTTTTATCAAATCTTTTATTAAAGAATTTTTCTTTTTTCCTTTTTTTTTATTCAAATGAAATAAAAAATGATAAAGAAACAATTATCATTAAGCACGAATAACATGAGTAGAAAAGTATAACCAAAAAAATTACTTTTTGTTTTGAAAAACCATAAATCAGTAAATTATAATAAATTAATTATTATTTTATTATTAATAAAAAACATTAATAAACTATTATTTAATTGAATCAAAAAATAAAAGTCGAAGTGTAATATTTTTCTTTGTATTTTTTGAAATAAGAATTATTTTTTTTTTTTCGTTTAATTTTTCTTTTCTTTATCAAAATAAAAAAATTAAAAACAGAATCAAATAATAATTAGTATTATTATATTACTAATTACTTTATTTTAAATCTTTCTGTGTATTATTCTGTGGTTAAAGTAACTTTGATAATTATATCATTTAGTTTTTTGTATGTAATAAATAGTTATATTGTTTATTATTATTTTTTATAAACTAATAAACATTTAAATAAGTATTAAGTAATTAATAAATATACTTTTCACATTACTTTATTTTTTATTTTTATTTATATTCATGTTAATCATATTAAAAACTTTATTCCATATCATATCTTAACACTATGTCTATTACCCTGTTTACTTTAAGATTTATTTTTTTTATTAGTGACTCTCTTTTTCTTTTAAACCTCCCTTTATATTAATTAGAAGTATATAAAACTTATCTGTTTATTATTTCTAATATTTTTAATAGAAAATGTTTTAATCATTACCTATATTTTTTTCTTTGTGTTATTTTCTTTCAATTAAACTTTTTTTTTAGATTTTACATATTATAATTATAAAAATATCTTCTGTTATGTAAACTTCTTTAAGATAAGTAAATCAAATAAAACTGAATAATTTTTATTCTGCCCTTTTTCTTTCTTCTATTGATTTCATCAAGTTTTGATGAGAAAAATCCATCAAAGGTTTAGTGTGTTGGGGAATCTTTGGTGAGGTTTTGTCATTTGTTCTTACATGTCTTAAGTGGTGGTGTGATTTAATATCACGATTGACACATCCCTTATTAAACTTGAATAAGTCAATATTACCTTCATAAATTGGGTTGATTTCCTTTGGTATTTCACAATGTTTTAGTTCAAAGTTTCCTTCATTAATTCTTTTCATGGTTGTTTTAAAACAATCTGTATTAAATTCTTTGAAGTTGTTCATTTTAATGGCTTTTCTTTCTCAGAGACTTGCTTAAATATTAATGGTATTTCGTTTTATTTTTTTTATCACAAGATATAACTTTCCACTAATCTGACTTTTCGTTAAGAGACTATTGATGTTTCTATAAAATAAGAAAGAAAAGAACTGTTTTTTAAAGAAAAAAAAAACAAAATTTATTTGATGGGAGAAGTGGCTCAATTATTGAGTGACCCTACTATAAAAGATATTACAAAGGAGTCAGTTATTTATGTCTCATCATCTAGAATTGGGTTTGGGGTCAGTAACATTTGTGATAACAACTTGTCAACTTATTGGCAAAGTAATGGAGAACGACCTCACCAAATTACGTTTGTTTTTGATGAGCCTCAAACACTTGCAGTTTGTTTTATATCTCAAAATACAATTTACATTAATAACAATTAGTTTGTAAGATTTTATGTTTCTCAGAAGATGGATGAGTCATATACCCCTTCAAAAGTATTACTAAGAGTTGGAACTTCTCTTTATGATTTAATTGAACTTGCAGTGGTTACGTTAGAAGAACCAGAGGGGTGGTATTATTTGACAAAACATATGAAAAAACCATTAAGAGGAAGTTGTGTTCAATTGGTTATTCAAGAGAATTGTTCACATGGAAGAGACTCTCACATCCGTCAAGTACAAATATTTGGTTTTTAGTAAAAAAAATAAATATCAATGATTATATTGTTAATAGTTATTTTTGATAAAATCTTAAAATACAAATTTCAAGATAAATTTTTTATTTCATTCCTAAAGGAAAGAATATATTATATTGACTAATTTAAGATTTGTTATTTTTTAAACTGTCAGTAAAAGTCAAGCAGCTCTGAAGCAGAAAAAAAATTCAAAAAAATATTGAGAAAAGAATATTCTATTTATATAAAAACATGAAACAATCAAAAAAATAATCTTCTCCAAAACCCTTTTAGATAAAAAAGGAGATGGAGATGCCTATCAAGAAGACTATAAAAGGAGAACTGTGAATAAACTTAGAAGAAGCAAAATAGCATGTCTAACGAAGTTACTAGTTTACAAGATTATTGGTATCCATCTACCGTAGGAGAACAAAATCCAGTTTTGAATAAATTAAAAGGAAGTGTAAGAAGACCATCTTTTAGTACTCAAATTATTCAACACTTTCCTAAATTAATTTTACTTTTCTGTGTGTATAGTTGGACTACTTTTGTATTGTCATATTTTACTACTTTTAATCCTTTATTCACTTCAGATAATGTTTATGGTATTGTTTTAGCTGTTGCTTCATTAGTCGCTGGATTAGTTTATTTTGTTTGGTCATTTGCAAGTTATAAACCAGTTTATTTACTCGACTTTGCTGTAGCTGAATTACCAGAAGAATATGAAGTTCCAAATGAACATATTCAAGGACCATTAACTCCTGTTTTTGAAGAGAGTAGTGTCGAATTTGTTGAACGTTTAGCCAAACGAACTGGACTTGGAAATCATACTTATTTTCCAAAAGTTTTTCATCAAGATAAAGTCATAAGACCAACTATGGAATTATCACGTGAAGAAGCATTATTAGTTATGACTAATTCTTGTGATAAATTATTTAATCAAACTGGGATAAAGCCTGAAGAGATTGATTGTGTTATATGTAATTGTTCTTTATTCTGTTGTACACCATCTCTTGCTGCTATGTTAATGAATCATTATAAAATGAAATCAACTTGTAAAAATTATTCATTAGGTGGAATGGGTTGTTCTGCTGGACTTATTTCAATTGACTTAGCTAAAGACTTTCTTCGATGTAATCCAAACAGTAATGTTTTAGTTTTTTCAACTGAAAATATTACTCATTCTTTATATTATGGAAATGAAAGATCAAGACTTTTACCATATACTTTGTTTAGACTTGGAGGTGCTGCAATTCTTTTGACTAATAAATGGAATTTAAGAAGTCATTCTAAATTTGAATTAACTCATTTAGTTAGAGTGAATCGTTCATTTGATGATGAAAGTTATAATGTAGTTTTTCAATCAGAAGATGCTAGTGGAGAAAAAGGAATTTCTTTAGGAAAACAATTAGTCAATTGTGTGTCTAAAGCATTAACTAAAAACTTATCTATTTTATTACCACAAGTTCTCACTTATAAGGAAATGGCAAAATATGGAATCGATTATATTAAACGATTAACAAATAAAGAATACGCTAAAACAGCTAAAACATATATGCCAGATATTAGAGAAACATTCCAAGCATATTGTATTCATGCTGGAGGAAGAGGTGTTATTGATGGTATTCAAAAGAACTTTGGATTAAGTGATGAAGATTGTTTACCATCACGTTCTAGCTTATATAGGTTTGGAAATACATCTTCTTCTTCTATTTGGTATGAATTAATGTATATTGAGCGTTGTGAAATGTTACAAAAAGGTGATAATGTCTTACAACTTGCATTTGGTTCTGGACTAAAAGTAAATTCTGCTGTATGGAAAAAAGTAAATTAAAAAATAATTTAAAGTTGTGTTATGTAAAATTTTTTTTGTTATTTTATTGTGTTGTTAATAAATGTTTATATCATGATTTTATTGTTATTTTATTATAACAGTTTTCATTTTTACTTAATTCTTGTTATCTGATTTATTTATCTTTATGGCATTTTTATTATATTTGATATGTATTATAATGATTCTTTGTGAAATAGTAGTAATAATTGATTATTATATCTCATTAGATAATTGTCATGTGTTATTTTGTTGTCAAATATTAATTCATTATATATCTTATTGGATTTAAATGAATTTATTTTTTTAATGTATTTTTGTATAGGAGAAGAAATTAACAAGAACAAACACCATAAACGAAATATAAAAATGTTATGAGTTAGATTTGAAGAATTATCTACAAGTGTGGCACTATTGAAAGAATGATTAGAAAATTATGAAAAATGATAGAAATGTGATTAAGATTAATGGTGAAAGAAATAATATTGTCAAAAAGTGATTAGAAAGCAAAATGGAAGAGATGAAATAAATAACAAATATAATGATAAGAGAAAGAGAAATGAGTGATAAAGAACAATGTACTTGAAGAGAGAAAGAATAATAGACAAACAAGAAACAGGTATTATAAAGAAAGATAAAAGAAATAGAAAGAAGAACAATAGAGATAAATAAATAATAAATAAAGAAATAAGAATAATACATAAAGAAGTAATAAATAAAAGAAAATAAAAATTAAGAACAAAAAGAGAAAATGAAATACAATTAGAAAGATGATAATAATACATATATTAATAATAGATAAATGAAATGAATAATAATTTTAATAAAAAATAAAAGAATGAAGAAAGAAACAAAATAAAGAAAATACAAAAATGAAATAAACAAATAAAACGAATGAAATATATAATATAACAAGAAAGAAATGATGAAACCAATAATGAAAAGAACAGATGATGGATTAAAAGAAAAAGAGAGAAATAAGAAAATAAAACAAGCAAAATCATTAAATTAATTATAAGAAAAGAGAATATATACAACAAGAAATGGAAAAGAATAATGAAGAGAATAAAGAATGAAACAAGAAATGAATAATGAGATTAAAGAAAGAGTAAAAACATAGAAAGAAAATATGAGAAATAAAGAAAATAAAAGAAATGAATAAGAAGACAAGAAATGAACAAAAACAACAAATATTTCAACAATCAATAAGAATGAACAAATGCTAATTAATTAAAATAAAATAAATATCAAATTTCATATATATTAAAATATTAAAATACAAAAACAATGATAACTGTAACAAGACCAATTGAAATAACACATATTGAAAAATCAGATATTACACATATTTTCAAAATAATACAACATAAATCACAACATTAAATAAAAGTAAATAGTGAATACAATAAAATTGATTCAATAATTAATGAAGTGAAGAAATACTTCTATCAGTAAACATGAAAATTCATAAAGAAATATAAATGACAATATCTACTTTATTGAATAACATCAACATATTGTTTAATCATCATTCATTATAATAAACACTTAATAATAATGAAATGATAATTCAAATCAAATGTGAAACAATATACAAAGAATAGAATAAAAATGAATAATTAATGAATGAAATAATGTACAACAAGAAAAAAAACGAACTATCAAATGAATGAAATACACAATACAAAATATTAGAAGATAAAACAATAAATATAAATAAGATATATTGAGAAACAAATCAGATGTGATATACAACGAATGATTTAAATATACATTCATAATAAAAAGAAAATAATAATAATAATAATATGAATAAATCTACAAAAGAGACAATATATGATAAATCCAATAGTTTCATATTTAATGAAATAAAATCACAATAAAATGCAACAAATAAATAATCAAATAAGTCAAAGAAAAGTGATTGAATTTCAATATTTGTCATAGTAGAATGTATCAATCATTTGAAACTGATAAACTGAACTGGAACATTTATATTATTTTTTATTTCTCATCTTTTTATATATGAATTATTGGGGGGTTTTGGTTGTTTAAGATTTATTACTCAATCTTAATTAATACTAAACAACTTTGTTCAGTGTTTATTTAAATTTCTTTTCTTAATACTTATTTATTCATCCCTCTTCCAACAGTTCTTTCACTGATTCATAATTAATTATTTCATTATCTTTATTCATAACTTTTATCTTTATCTCTCTTCTGACACTTAGCACCATTTTACTATTATTAAAATCATTTATTCTCATATCATTTTTATTTAAAATACCATTTTTTATTATTCCATTAGAAATAAAACATGTTC